ATCAATTAAAAGAGATCTAGATCGAGTAATTTTCAATCATTAATTAACTATTGTGATTTTTGCTAAATGGCACGTGACTTTTTTGATCTTGTTTGATCTAATTAATCTTCACAATTTTTCGTTTCCAAAAGGTCCCTTGTATATTTATTAACTATATTCTTTCTAATCCTGGACTGTACTTCAACTTTAGCGCACATCTCACGGAAATGTGTTAAAATGACTGAATCAGGTTTGCGCGAAAATACATGATAACATTCCTTTTTTCATATTTATATTTGAAGAGGAGTACGTTTATTTTCGATCTCGTATGTCAGTCTAATTTGTAGCTAACGTGTGTTTCTCCTCTTCTGGAGGAACGGTGTACTTTTATTAAAAAGTCTCACTGTGTCGTCAGTCCACCGTGACACTTATAAATCACGAAGGAAAATTCTTGCTTCGCGATGTATAAGTCGCGGTGATTACGCCACCGGCAGATAAAATCGTGAGCTACAAACATGGTATAAATGGTGTATTATGCAACGAGAGGTAAGATATAGATGTATATACGAAAAGACTTTAGCAGAAAAACAGATTTTTCGTCGAGTGATAAAGTAGCAGACATGGAGTGCACTTGACGTTGTTATTTAGTTGAATACTCGCAGTTGAATACGTTTTCAAGATATATTTTCAAAAGAGAATATTTCATATTTGCTTTCCTGTCGCTTTTCTTTCTGCGCGACAGGACATGTCGTATTTGCAATGAAAATAAAGTAAAATATGAGTGCGAGGAAATGTGAAGAGAGACGCAAAAGAAAGAGAGAGAGAGAGAGAGAGAGAGAGAGAGGGGGGGCGACGGAGGGAGAAAAAGAGAGAGGGAAGAGAGCAAGAGAGTGAGAGAGAGAGAGAGAGAGAGAAAGCGCGAAGCAGGCAAGATTCGTTGGCTGCATCCGCTCAGCCTGCTACTACTTAACGTAAGTAGTTCGTCAGAAGCAGGTCAGGCATCGATGCATGCATTAGAGGAGTGCATAGTCTCTGTGCATTTCTGGATGCGGTGCCTCATGAGTCGTAACGCGATTACCGAAAGTCTCTCCCTACTTTCTTCGCTCTCCGATAAAGTTCTCCGAGGTTGGTATCGAACGCGATTGAGTCGCGAATCGAGAGGAGTTTTACGACTGCCTTGCGCGCTGCCAATACGAAACTCCTCCCGCCGGCGCGCGGCACAGCGCGACGGCGTTATCGATACTTTTGCGTTAATAACGTCAGATAAAAGTATCGGAGCAAGCTGTCCGTGTTCGCGCGCGCGCGCGCGCGCGCAGACGTATGTATGTACGCGCGATCTGCGCCGATAAACACTGCTATCGTATAATCGAAACGGCGCCGGCAGGAAACACCTCGTAAATATATCATCCGCCGCGCATACGCAAGCTGGTATTAACTCGGAAGCTCGGTAGACTTGGACGTAACGAAGAAGTTATTGACCTTACAATTTGTCATTCCTAAGTACGGCACGGCCCATGTGCGCACCGCATATCGCGCATATTGTCGCGTAAAATTGCCAAGTAGCAATAAACGATAAACCGCGATGTCCGATGCGCTCTTCGTTAAAGGAACATCAGCGGCAAGCCTCCTTCGCGTCTCACAGGCTTCATCGTTAAAATCACGAAAAGAATTTCGCGTGAAGAACTCGGGAAGTGAGAAACTGTGTCTGTGTGTATGTTTTTTTCGCATGTATTGGATCCGACGTTGGATGAAAGAGGCGTGATGAATGATTTATCCCTCTCTCTCTCTCTCTCTCTCTCTCTCTCTCTCTCTTCCTGTCTCGTCAAGACAACATAGTCGCGCGCAACGTGGCGAATGAAATATTCAAATTAGGCGCGACGACGACGCGAGTGATGTTGCACTAAAATGCCAAACTCTCCGGAAGGAAATGTCTCGCGTACGGAACTTCGGAACGTGGAGGATTACGAGACTAATAAACCTCTTTATTACGCGGTCGTGAAGAAACCCATCCTCTTTATTTCGCTGAGAATCGCGACGAAACTGTCGTTTTAATAAAAAGTATCGCGTCGACGAGAAGATGCGGAGAGGCGCGGCCAGACGAGTCGTTTCTCCTCGAGGGGACGGGCTTAATCCGACCGTAATTTCGTCGTTAAAGTTAACAACATCTCCGCGAGCGCTAATGCGTCTCAGATCTCGCGCCGTCCTCGTCGACGGTCATCGTCGTCATCGTCATCGTGGACGATTTATAATTTCGTGATAATTCGATCTTACCATTAATTGATAATTGTAATACCGAGTGTGATAATTAACAGTTGCATTTATACACACCGCCGGCTGCTTCGCTTCCGCGTTTTCACGGTCCGGCGGCATGATCGTGATATACCTATACCGAGTCCAAGACTGACGTGTGCGACACACTCTGCCTGATAATATCGTCCGTCCAACGTGACGGTGACAAACGTCACTATCGATTATGCATGACGACGACGGCGACGACAACGACAACGACGACGACGACGACGACGACGGCGACGGCGACGGCGACGGCGACGAGCCCGCGCGTGAACGTGAGCCGCGATCTCGCTCGTTTCTCGCGACCACGGCCCTGGCCGAGACCGGATCGCGCGTATTCCATTTGTATTCGCACTTGACAGCCAAAGCCCGCACGTACTTCTCCGTTCTACGAACGTGAAGAACCTGATTTTCACGTGACGACAGAGCATCAATTCTTCGCCGGTCATAACACGCGAACGCGATGGTAGATTCCGATATTTGTAAAATGGCTTCTTTCACGCTACGGCCGGAGACTCTCTCTTGACGTTTTGGACGTCTGTATGTACTTGTGTATATATATATATATATATATGTACGTACATACAGGGTGTCCCAAAACTGCCGGATTTCCTCTTGGGGGGTGAAAGAGGGTGCGATTTGGAACCGAAAATTCCTCCATCACTTTTAGATCAGAGCATTAGTTTGTGAGTTATTAACTGATGAATCTGACCAATCAGATTATTCGGTGAGCGGACATACAGTGGAGTAGAATTCAAGTTTCAATTTTAATCCATCAGACTAAAAAATTTTCAAATTCAGAGAGGAGCGAAGAGAAGGATGGATACGGAAGGGGGGAGGGAAGCACGCGGAAGAGGAGCGAGAGGAGGGCGGCATAAATGTAAAATCTATCGAAACATAGAAAGTGAAAAACACAGTTTTCCACGCATTGTGGCCGCATATTTATGCCGCTCCCTCTCTCACCCCTCCTCCCGCTATCCCCTGCCGGAGAGAGGAAATCTCACAGTTTTGAGCAGTTTTGGCCTGTACATATACAAGTCGTTTATTTCGAAAGCGCGACGGGTTCATAGTTTCGATCGACCTAGCTGCAGATTCGACAAATGCCGCGCGTTAATTTATATTCGCGTCTCTAGCCTTTCGGCTAACCGCCTTCATCCCCCTCTCTCGCCCGGTACATAAAGTGCAAACTTGCCGCAACTCGAGATTCTGTTAATTCGACGAAAATTCATGGGCGACGAGACGCGCCAGTGGTCATCACACGCGGGACATGAGCGCGTAATCGCGCGGGTTCAGTTTGCCCATTAAGATGTACATTGTCCAGCCAACGTGAGAACATGTGTGTCGCGTCGCGCATCGTGCGCGCGGATAAACATGTGGCGCGTCAGATATCCTGAACACTACCCTGTGTCCACGTACGTGTCCAGTAGCTCGTAACGACCGATGGGCGCCCGACGGATCGCGCGAATGCTGAAACACAGACGCGTTATAAATATCGCAAGGTTGGAAGGAAGCACGGAGGGGCGGGGGGGGAGGGGGGTGAGTATGTGGAGGAGAGCTCTGCGGAACGCGGCGGGAGGTCGCCCGGTGAGAAACGCCGAGATTGACAATAGAGAGCGGCGCGGACGAAGGCGAGATCGAGGGTAGCCCGAGAAAGTTTTCCAATTTGAAGCAATTAGTTTGCAGTACGGCGTTGGATGGCATGCATCCAGATAATCGAATATGGGTCAGCGTTCAACGTGGGATGGGTCGATTTACGGTCAGGCGGAGCCGGGGAGAGAGCGAGCGAGCGAGTGAGTTTCCCGTGTGTGCACGTGCGATGGTGGGGGGGGGGGGTCAACCCTGTCTGCAGTCCTGGTATGTCCGACGCTTCACATAAAACCACGTGGCACGATTCGGCGCGAGTGGCTTGCCTTAGAATTCCGTCGCTATCTGTCCGCGGTAATCGATTAATCGATCGCACATCTAGCCGATCTACTCGCCCGCCTGATCGACGACGCTCCGCGATGCTGCCCGGAGTCGCTGGCTCGCCGGCGACGCTTCTTCTCGCCCCCTCCACTGCCTTTCCTGCTCGCACGGGCGAGCGAGTGGGTGTCTTCAGCCGCAGTGATAGAGCTTTAAAGTTTTCCGCCGCACATGTACGTATGTTTGTACGTACGTATGTACACACACACACACACACACACGTCTGTTCGCTGCTTGTTGGACTCGGTCGGACGAAGATACGCGAGAAAGGAAATTGCGGAATCGCGCGACCTAACGCGCGAGAGTGTGCGCGCGCGCGTTGCTTCGTTGGGAATATATACGTGTATATAATACATACAGTCGCCGCGATTTCCGCGGTTGCGACTCGTGTTCTCGCAATTACGCACGTGAAATATTCGGCGTATAATAGCACCTACGATATGAGAGGTAATCTCTCCCTCTCTCTCCCTCTCTCTCTCTCTCTCTCTCTCTCTCGTTCTCTTTCACTCTTTCTCTCTTTCTCTCTGCCTCTCTCCCTCTATTCTCTCCTTCACACCCCTTTCTTTCCCTCCCTCTCTTCCACCCTCTCTTTCTGTCTCTCCACGGTTCCCCTCTCTCTCTCTCTCTCTCTCTCTCTCTCTATATCCTTGTCCTGTTCTGTCTCTCTTTCTTTATTATTTCTCATAAATCTACATCTGGATTGCAAGTAGTCTTAGAAAAATGTTCAGTTTCACCGTTTCACTAAATTTTTCCGTTTCTGTTTGCAGAGTCCGAAGCCAGCTGGGAGGAATGGTGGACCTACGATGGTATTTCCGGTGGGTAGTTATCTTCTTTTATGCAGTACATTGTGCGGCGAAAGTGGCATTCGTGTTAAAAGCCGACTCGCTCGTGAAACTTTTGATGTCGACGAGCAAGTGTCGACGAAGGCAAGCACGCTGGAAACGCGCGTGCGTGATTATAATTATAATTATCATTGTCATAATTTAATGGTCATTTGCATCAGAGATATTCCGTCGGGAAAGATTCGCTGCGCCTGTACAATATTTTTTTTCCCGCTCCGCTGTCATTTCAACGGTGTCGAGCTTAATTTTCGCGCTTTATTTCCTTTCCCCTTTCTTTCTTTTTGCTTGACGAGTGTCGTATGACGTGATAGACAGAGTGAGAAACTTAACTAGTCCGTTGCATCAAGCTTGCACATTTCGCGCTAAATTCTAGCGATTTTACTACCGAACAGATAGTAAGTTTATACGACGTTAATAGCAGACGAGACAGAGAGATATATAATGCATATATACGTGCAATTAATTTCACAATATGAGATCCCGCGTGTACACATGAAAAAGACCGTATCGTGCGACGTGTACGGGTCCTCGTGCTGCAAAATCAAGTGCCGCTAAATTCGCGCTGCGACTACCCAAGTCCGTCTCATTTGAAACGTAAATGCTTGAAATATGTCAAATTCCCGTGAACAGGACGTAAGTATCCGGCGAAGAGCTCAGCCGGTCGCGCGGCTTCTTAATTTTCTTAATTTTAAGTTACGACGCCATCGAGTGCCTCGGGGCCACCGGTGAATTTTTTAATCTCAGCTCTCTCTCTCTCTCTCTCTCTCTCTCTCTCCTTTCGCGCTCCCTTTTCTCTTCCTCCCCCTCCGTCTCCTCCGTTTCCTCCTCTTCCATGCCTTCTCCCTCTACCAGTGGGCTGTAGTTTTTATTAAAAATAAGGCGAGCGCCGATAAGGCCACGTTGGTCGAGGGTCCTGAGTTTAGTGTTGTTCCGCCATGCGAGCCAGCTGCCACACGAAAAACAGTGCCGTATACTTGGCTGACGGGCGTTCGCATAAAACGCCAAAAATTCCACTTCCTCCTTCATTGTTAGCCCTTTCCCTCCGCTCACCTCTGCCACGTCGCCCTCGAGCGTGGTTCGCGCAAACCCTACGAATTTCTCTTCGGCCCGTTGACGTTAGAGAGGAAGTTGTTGATCTCATTTCAGAATTTACGAGCGCCACATAATTTCGCCATCGATTAGCTCGAGTGCCGCAACGAAATGAAGTTCGCCTTGCGAAGTGCCGGTAATATCGTTATCGTGCGCGATATTCTTGCGACCCGGCGTACCCGGAACTTGTCGTATCATTTCTCTCTCTCTCTCCTTCTCTCTCTTTTACATTTCTTTTTCTCCCCTCTAGCTTGCACGGCGACTTTTGCGCACAGCGTGGGCTTATAAAAAATGTCTCGGAGGAATGTGAGAACATCGCTTTGAAATGAAATGGAAATATGAAACACGTTCGTAAGGTTTATCAACGCGGACGCGGTCTAGGGCGGGACGTAATTCATTAGTTCTGTTATCCATTCGTGGCGTCAACTCCATATAATGCCTTGTCTTACATCTTATTTTAATCTTCTTCGGACGTACATATATCGAAGAATCAAATAGATCATCGTCAAGTACAGAGAGTCATTGACTCCTCGTTGGAATTACATCTCCCAGATGCCCAGAATTCTTTGATGATCTGCTCGAAAGACTTTTCAGCGTCTTTTAAGTATTTAATGCGATTGTACGTTTTTATTTTCCTTGACCAGCAATTCAAGCAGACGCATACGTCCCTCGCGAGCGTTAATTAAATGCCAGCGCAAGGCGTCAGTGTCCTTTTCTTGAAGACGATTCTTTGTATCGGTAAAATCGTCTCTCTCTCTCTCTCTCTCTCTCTCTCTCTCTCTCTCTCTTTCTCGTGGGATCAAAACATTTTTTAATCAAGATAGTTCGCGTTTTAGACACACCCGGTACACCGTCGTATCGCGGCGAGGATGCCCGTGACTTATTACCGTGATCGATAGCGGGCGGGAGTCGATTTTTAGGGTTCACCGGTGTCCCGTATCATGGGCAGATGGGCTCTCGTTTTACAACCAATAAGCGCACGCCCTCGGTCGCGCACTTTGAACTGTCGTTACATACTTCGCCTCCGTCGGATTTATACAGGCTGTTCCGTGGCTTACTCCGTGTCCCCTTTCATCTACTAAAATCTTTAGCAAATTCTGAAGACGAGATTCCCGTCCGACGGAGATTTGATTACTCGCTGCCTTTTCGCGCAACTTTTTGGCGTCCGGCATGATCATATCTTTTCACAGACAATCCTTGGCACAGATGTCTCTCTCGCTGAAGGCAAAAGCACGTCGAAATTAACTAGAAAATAAGTTTTTCTTATCTACTCGTGTACCCTCCCACGGGATTTAATTTACTCGAGGCATATCATTTGCTTTGCTACTGACAATCCATTAAAATTTTCGCTGTCAGGTAGATTGTCAGCGAATTGAAACGAAACCGTAATAACGTATTCTTCGCTGCGATTCTTCGCAGGTTTTTTAATAGGTTCCTTTAACGTGCTGGTACATGTTCTCAAGCGACTAACAGCATGGAAGACTGCCAATGTAAAAAAAAAAAATTGCTTTTCTTGGAGTCGACCGCCTTGGAGGGGTTCACGCGAGTAACTTCCCAAGGTATGCGGAAGGTACAGCGTGCTCGAGCAATTGCACTTGTGCGTGTATTTACGCGGCAGCGAAATAATCGTACGTTACATTACACTGTAGATTGCACGGCGTCGCGAGTTGCTCGCTGCGCTCGTGTTGCTTTTTTTTTCACCTCGAAATATACCGGCGCCAGTCATATTTACGAGCGACCCTGATTTTATGAGCGACGCTGCAGTACATGATATATCTTTAGTTCAGTCCCGAGGATACTCGGGCGAACCACTGGCTGAACTTCACTGTCGTCGTCATATTATAAATGAGACGGAGGCAAGATAACATAAAAATTTGAAGACGTACATCGAGTCGAATATTTACAAATATACCGTACCGTGCCGCATATTTCGGCATTACTGCTGTATTTCGCGATATGCGATGGCAAGACGGATCGCGTGAAATGAGCAAATTAATGGTGGACCGCCGGCAATTTCTTCCGTGGAATCGTATTATTGATTTTCAACTTCGTGCGAAGTAGTTTCCGTGATTACGAAGAGTACCTGGTAGTTACGTGATAAGAGACTGCGAGAATTATTAGAGTCGAGAATCGCGGTGAAGAGTCAAAAGTGAATCGTCGGACGAATAAAAATGCACACTTGCAAGATAGCCTGCAAGAAAATCTTGGCGTATGTGGAACTTACCTAGAGCTGAGATTAAGTTCAATGCTCGTAATCTTTTCCTTTCTCTCTTTCTCTCTCTCTCTCCCCCCTTTTACCTCGCTACGCAACTGGCAGTAGCATTGGCACCCCGTTACTCGGCGAACAGTTTCTTAAGCCCGGGGAAGAAGCAGTACGAAGCTGAAGATGAAATTTCCGTGGCACGGGCGAGAATATGTCTTTCCGGCTAAAGATGCTGAAAAATGTAGCGCGCTTCTCGCAAGGAATCATATGGCTTGAGCCGCACATTGCATTCCCAGCGAGAGCCGCAATTCACTGAAGCTGTTGTAATTTTAATGACTCGAAATATTTTCACGCTGCAGACGCGCGAAAACGATTTTTCTCTATTCGTGACACGCTGGAAATGCGAGCGTTTACGTAAGATGTGCGCATAGCAATGCGAAATTGGATTTAACGCGATTCATTTAGTTAGGTTGGTGCAAAAATAATTGCGGTTTTTACGCATCCAGTATAAAGACGCATATATTATATTTATATTTAGGCAAAAATTATATTTATTAATCAAAATAAAAACCACTGGCCTGCACACGTTTTTCCTAATGAGAAACAAGTTCGTTTATTCCTGTAAAATCAGTAACAATTGACGAACAATTGACGAATGAGTTCTACAAAGAGTTCTATCGTACAAAAATAGAAAAATTAATTATAGTTAAAAAACACTCATGGTCATAATATAATAAGCTAAACAAATTGAGATGCTAAATTAAAATGTCGTCTAGTTCTGAACATATTTACGTATTCTTTAGAGGCACTACCAATGTTGTGTTAATTAAAAAGAAAATACTACTGTCTGCTGAGAGCAGCGTACCTACAAGGGAGGGAATCGTCGGAACTGCCCCTCATCGTGGTTTATGGGTTTTAGATAAAAAAAAATGTTTGGGAGCATAAAAAAATATTAGACCAGTATTTTCTTTTTTAGCGGGCTATCTCAATGTTTAGGAGTTGAAACTTTTAAAAAATAACGGGTTTTTATTTTCAACGAATATCTTTGAAAATATAAGATACATGAAAAAATGTTTTATATAAAAGTTTTATGGTATTTTATACTTTTTACAACGGTATATTTACGTTTGCTGAAAATGTTTTTTTTTAATTTATCACCACCTACGTATTATTTTAATATAATAATATGTTTCCACGATTTAATTCTTGGGAAAATAAAATGACAATATTGTATTATAGGCGCCGTGTTGTATGTAGATGTTGCGTTACTTATTTTCAATTGCGCTATAATTACTCAATATTACTTGTCTTAAAGAAATCAATTTCTTCTTCTTTGCCTGCCTTGAGTGTCTAAATTCTACGGAAAATTTCAATGACAATATAACAATAATAGCAAAGAAAGAAAGCAAGAAGAGAAACAAAAAGTTTGTTAGTTACATATTAATTCTATTATTGATAAAATTTCTGTTTAAGGGAGGCACTTCTAGTGAGATTTTGTCTTTCATACGTTCATAGAGATGATCCTCCTGAGTAACAAGTTCGAAAGCTCTCTCTCTTTCTCTCTTTTACGTCGCTCATTGTTTACTTTAAAAATTATTAACAAAATAATTTTCATCAATAGAATGTAATTTTTCGACACAGCATTTTGCGCATTTAAATATGGTAACCAGTATACGTATTA